TGCACTGTCGCGGTTCGAATCCCGCTGAGGGTGTTGATAAGACCGATGCGAGGTCGAAACTGCAGTCCACGCTGGATGGGAACAATTTTTGGGAAAGCAAGGTTATGTGAAAATGATTGGAAACGTCAGCTCAACACATATCATTGTGGGAAAATTCTTCTTCTTCTACCAATCCTTCATCACCTTAAACAAAATTGTGGGAATACATCTCATTACACACCGTGACAGTGAACAAGCTACCCTACTCACTTCGGACCCTCTATTACTAGGGCTGTCCTACCGGATGCTATGAATACTGCATTCCATCCGGCGCCCCAAAGCGACAGTCTTTGTTTGGCTGATTGGGTTGGTTTTTGAGTGAAAAAAGCAACAATTTTATTATACCAATCAAGATTAAATACGATTTCGCCTATTTCCCACTTCATTCATGAACTAAAAACACTGAAGACGGAAAAGACACACTTTGTGGTTGCATCGGCTCATTGCCAAATGCGCCTAAACTCAAGCTGACTAATTATTTGTTGTTAGTAGCTGTGAAAAGTGACAGACAGTACCGATATTGCTAACCTGCACACTCGACGTATGTGTAGGCAAGAGCAGGAGAAGGATCGTATGTGGCGAAATAGCTGCCGTTCTGTTCTATTGTGAATATCCGATGACGTGGGGAATCCGGTTTCAGTGTCAAGAGGACTCCGTTCTCCTCACGATACAGAGAAAGCCTCCTGATTGACGATGTTGTGCATGTTTAGTCAGAAAGAAAGACAGCATTGGAGATGGTATTTTAAAGAATAATATAAAATAGTCATTAAAAAAGCTCATCTATAAATGCTTACGCTTTGGGTGCACTTCATTTGGTGCATTGCTCATACGAAATTAATCAAAAGCACACTATAAAATAGCTTCCACAATCACAAATGCCATTTGCTCTATGCATATATGCCCGTGTAAGCTTGTACGTGTCTGTTTGTATGTGAATGTGTTTAGTGATAGACCTGGTATAGGATGGTATATTTGAGCCTCATACTTGCTCATCCTATCTCCCCAAAAGCATAATCTACGATTCTTGAGCTGTTTCTTATCTGGCCCCAGCTACAAGTCGACTGTAAATGTGAACTGTGAAGGGTATGGCTTTTCGTAAAAGTATCATCTGATCTGCCGGCCAGAGACATTCGCGGCAGCATGTCGTGATGGTGTAGAATATCTTTTGCGAAGCAAAGGTACGTGAAATTCGGCAGAGGCAATTCTTCCACTACCGAGAGACCCCAAGCATAGACCAAGTCTACACTAAAAGTAAAACATTATTAAACAAGCTGCTTTGTTTTGGCAATCTGATGTGTTTACTTTCCACCTGCGCCAGCTGAGACCGGCTTTATGGGGGGGACTAGCCGAATTGTGGTATGCAAACAAGATGTGTTTGCTAATGACGACTGATGAAGAGAATGGAAAGTAGGCCGCGAAATGTCCCCACCAGTTCGGGACCAAAACGACCGACTTACAGACCCTGCAACCGGCACAGATCATCGGCAAGCTTCCAGATCGTCCGGGGCATGCTCGAGGCCAGCGGGTAGTGGTAGGCAAGTCCATTGGCCATTTTCGAGCTGATGTAACCGCGGTCGGGAGATGGGCCACCCTCGATTTGGAAGCTGATTCGTTTGTCTGCAAAGCAATCGAGATGGAGACATAATCAAAAGGGTTACAAACTTGCTCAATCCGCAATCATATGAAATGTAATAAGATGTATTCACCCAATTTTCCCACAAATGATATGAGTTTAGTTGACATTTCCATTGAATATTTACATAGCTTTGCATTCCTAAAAGTTGTTCTCATCCAGGCACCAGTTGACTGCAGTTTCGACCTCGCATTGGTCTCATCAACACCCTCAGCGGAACTCGAACCGCGACAGTGCAGGACGGTAGCTTGACACGCTAACCACTCGGCCACACATCCACGAGCGCCTTTTGGGTCACAAGGCAAATGTGAATTTTCAAGGAAGGCCAGGCCTTTTTGCCATATCACATGCTTTTTGTGGAATTGTTGATGAAGCAAACGTATGTTTTGCTAAAAAAATCGACTACTATACAATACTTAATTCGAAAAACATATGAAATGTGTTCACCCTGTTTCGTTTGAGGTACTGAAGGACTGGAAATTCAATTTTTCCACAATCAGTTGTATAGACTTTGTGTGCTTAGTCATTTCACACATCCCTGCCTCCCAATATGTGGCCTTTTTCCACTTGGCCGGACTCAATTTATTTCATCATTACCCCTAGCCGGACTCGAACCGTAAAAATGCAGTGTATCATCTTGACACTACTACGCAGCAGTGCTACGAGTGTCCTTGGGTCAAAAGGCAGATGTGAATTTCAAGGAAAACTAAGCATTTTCATACATCCCATATTGTAGCGGGATTGTCGATAAAGCAAAGATAAATTTGATATAGACATCCACTACACTACTTATTTTTATAAGTAGACTGTCCAGACTATCAATATATCGTATACATGAATTGTGTTCATCCTATTTCGTTTTAGGTCATGAGGGACTGCATTTTTCCACAATCATATGAATAGACTTGTGACAAAAGGGCATTAGTGGCAATATGGCGTAGTAGTTAACTTGTCGAAATCATATGCAGAACTGTTATGGTTCCAGTCCCGCTGGGGGTGTTGCTATGGCATAAGCTACGTCAGAACTGCAGCACAGTATAGATGAGAATAACTTTGGGGGAGTAGGA